TCAATACTGCCTTAATAAGCCTCTCGCAGGAGCAGTGAGACTCATCTTCTCGGACAATTCTTTTTCTTGAATTATTATTTTGATAGTACAGCTCATCGTTATTGTGATTTGAGCAACCTATCTTTTGTTTTTTAACCTTGTTAACATGCACAGGACGACTAGTCGTCGCCTCTGGGTGATCCAAGGTTAAATTCTTAAATCCATCCTTTTGCGGGTACGGAGTCTTCATTGGTCCTAAACGAGAATGAATTGGTATTTTCTCGCTTTGGACTTGGGCAGTTCTGACAGGAGGGTATTTACGACCCCCTGTATAGGAAACCATTAAAGGTTTATTTGTTGGATCCGAATGTTCTTTAATTAAGGATTTGCCTCGATTGTTAGCCAAAGGACCGAGACGATCTGCCATTGTGACTTTAAATTTCGATAGGTCGGGACTGACCCAGGGTTTTACTGGTGATGCAGTAGACGGACCCGGAATGGATGTTTGCAGCGTCTTCGGAATCCAAACTTTATGGTTCTTTGGTGGCTCTTCAGACACTATTTCTTTCTTCCTTTCTTGCATCTGTTGATGAAGGGCACGAGCGCGAGCAGTCTTTGCCTGACACTTTTGTATACGCTCTTTGAGGGTCGAACGAGCCCTCTTGACGAGAGTTCATTCTTCCGTTGTGAGCTGTACAGAAATGTGATTAGTTTGCCGTTGAGGTAACTGAATCACTCTATGCTTCCTCGACTCTAGGTCCGCATGGTAGTAAACCCCGTCGGTTTGTTCTAAGGCCTTGACCAATTGACGAGCACGGCGCTGACGTTGTCTCTGACGAGCTCTCTTTGTCAGTATCGGCGAGCTTTGGTTCAACGACCCTTTAATTAGGGAAGGGTCATTTGGAGCAGACATAGTGCGAGCGGCATCCTTAGCCACAATTGGGCAAGAGTTTTCACTCGTCGTCTTCATCACCAGTTTTTTTCGTCGAAAGTCGTTTTCATTGTCGATGCCATTAAACTTCAGTCGTTTACAATGAGTTACAATGAAAAAAAATAAACAAATTACAACTTTCTTAGAAACCAGTTTTTTTCGTCGAAAGTCGTTTTCATTGTCGATGCCATTAAACTTCAGTCGTTTACAATGAGTTACAATGAAAAAAAATAAACAAATTACAACTTTCTTAGAAAATAACACAGAAATCGTTTATCGACTCCTGTTTTGTGGGACTTTGCCTGTACCGGGAGTGCTTTGGCTCGTGGACCACCGATTTACAGATCGTGAGGGTCTTTTTATATCCTTTCTTCGTTTAGAAGCAAGAATGAAAATTAGTAAATATCTTATCAAAGTAAGACAATCACTCTTCTTAAGATCAAGTCAAAGCTCGAATCTCAAGGAATCACACAAAGAACTCAAGTTTTACCGTTTTGTCTACTCTCTATGCTCCTCTCTGCTCCAATTTGCTCGATTCTGCTTAGTAATGACCCTAGGGGGTATTTATAGCCTCTGGGACACTTTTACTGAAAAATACAATCATGTGAAGAAGTTAAGGTTGCGAGACAGCGTTTACTGTCTCGGCGGCCGAGACAGTGTTTGTTGTCTCCGAGACAGTAAAGACTGTCTCGGAAAATCTAACTGTCTGGCAGTTTCTACTGTAACTGCCTTCACATGTTTCAAACTCTATTATTTTGGCAGTTATCCACGTGATTCTCACCCACGATGTTTCCCATGTTCTTTGACAGTTAATGTACACGTGTGTGGCAGTTACTTTAGTAACTTTTAACCATCTCAAAGCTGTCTCGCGTGCGAGATAGTAAATGTTGTCTCGCTGACCGAGATCAGTATACCTATTATTATAACTATATACTGTAGTGTTATAAATTATAGCGTATATATAATCGTTTATATATAAGTAATATCTATATAGATATAATATTACTATATATATATAATATCGTTATATATTATCGTATAGTACATAGATAGTATATGTTGTGTGATTGTGTGTGTGTGGTGTGTGTGTGTGTGTATATATATCTATATCTAGTATTATATAATTATATTATAATCTAGTAGCGATACACATACTATATAAATTTATACAGTATAGATATATATATATAATATATATATGAGGAATATATATATACAATACCTACTTTAAAAACCCTCGTTACTATATAGTAGTATATACTTGTGTGTTTGTGTTTTGTGTGTGTGTGTGTGGTGGTGGTGTTATGAGTAACTATAATATCATATCTATATCGTATCATAACGTAACTAATATTTAGGTTAACGGCAGTAAGCCTCGTTTCTCGTCGATCCCACCTCAGGTCCTCCATACCCCGCCCCCCCCTCTTGCTCCGCGCCCCCTCTCGCGTTCCTGTTTTCTGTGATTTCTCTGTCCTGGGTGTCTTTCGATTTTTTTTTCCCGATGCGTTTATGTTATGAGATTGAGCATTTGGTCTAGGGTTTGTGCATTTGTAATCTTCATACATTTCTTCAGACCTTGATTTTAATTACTTAATTGAGCTTGATGGTAGAATAGATTTGGAAGTATGCCGCTAAATTTGTACGAAGTGACTACAGGATACCTCATTAGAGTTGAAGAATTGATGTTTTTTATCATATGAAAGCTTTCCGTTGCACCCAAAGAAGCCATGAGGAAAAAAAATTCGATGGTTCGTAGTTCTTTTCTGTCTTACATGTTTTTTGTTGAGAAGATTTGAAGATAAATTATTTTGATTTGTGGAGGAAGATATAAGTATTTACATTTTACGGCCGGTAGAATATCTAGCGTGTTTGCATTGCTTTATGTAAGCCAAACTAAGTGTTCTGTTCTTTTAGTGAAAAAGAGGTGCCCAATAAAGTTAGATTCCCCGCTGACAGTTCATCCATCTATTTTCGTCAATGCCGAAATATCAGATGATTGCGATTAGATAATATCAATGGGTGAAAATATGGACGGGTCTAATGTTTGATGTTGAGATAGGATCTGAAGGAATGGCACGAGACACTCTAAACATAGAACCAGACATGAATATCAGTATCTAGTTGTTTCACACTAGTCCACTATATTTCTCTCCTCCTCATACGGAAATTCTCACTAAATACAAATTCGAACTCAGGTCTCCTCTATACTCACTGAAGAGACTAATTACGCTAATATAAGCAATCAAATTGCACAAATTTCATCTTATGTTCCTAAACCCTGAATAGGTTAAATCCCTTAGGACATGACTCAATCTGCACCCTCCTATTCAATTACAAATTTTATTTGTTGGTAGCCAAATCACTTGTAGGACATCACTTAACTTACTATTTATTTGTTGTTATTAAAAGCACTGGGGAAAGATTTCTGAATCTCTTTCTATTTTAAATATTCGAGCATCTTACTAATATTTGTTTTTGATAAGTCACTGTTACAAATAAAAATTTCAGGATTAATGACATGCGCATAAGAACAGAGTTTTATGTAGTTCGAAAGAAGAGGTCGATCATGATGTGGATTGTTTATAATTATATAGTTATAGGAGCGAATAATTGACACAATCTCTAAAAGTAGATAAATTTACCCAAATGCCTTCATCAAAGGGTATGCAGCACGTACGAAGAGGCTCTTTGATTAATGGAAAGCACACACTCGCTCGTAATAAGATTCACATCCAGCTTCGAGCATATGTCCAATAGTAATAATATAATGGAAAATTACCGAGGTTCATGTTTACATTTGGTCTTAACAAGAATAAGTAGATATAGACAGTGAATTGCATAATCTTCGGTAAATGAGCGACAGCCTAAAAATGGAAGACAACTTGATTGAAGCAGGAAGAGCGTAAAATCTAGTTGGCTCAATAACCATCTATTAAAAGCCTTTGTATCGAAAATACCTATTATTTAAACCCATAACCACAATTGGGAAGCTATCGTTTGAGTTACTCTCATTCACCCGTCCATTAAAGGTTTTGAATACATAGAGTTATTCAATGGCTCGATGCGAAGGGTATACGACGACCGGGTTCACAAACTGGTTGTTGGGTTTAGAATATGTAGTCAAGTCAACGGAGCGGATATCCCAATTGTCAAAAGTCATCGTGATTTTAGAGGCGTCTAAGGAAATCCCCTCTAGTGAAAGCGATACCATTAATCTCTCTCTCTCTCTCTCCTCATCCTCTATGTACAATATTATATTACAACCGCACTAATGACTACTTAAATAGTTATATCTATGACATACTAGTTATATACTATATAACCATATTTTTTTAAAAAAATTATATAACTAATAATATATATATTATTAATATGGTATTCGTACTACTACTATATCTATAGCATAGCTAATAGTTATATATCTAGTATAAGTTTTTCCGGTGCCGAATCCAGACACTGGCTCCTGTTCGTTCGCATTGAGGGCTTTTTGGGTTTTTTTGAAAAAAAGCAAAGCAGTTGCGCTGACCACACGTTCTCGTGACCACGCATTGAGGGCTTTTTTGAAAAAAGGCCAGCGTAACAGCAGCTGCTTAATACAAATTCTCGTGACAAGACTGATTCTCTCTCTCCCCCAAAAAAGCCCCAATCCCTCCTCCATCAAGCCCCAAAATCAACCAACTCCGACGAGCTCCCAAATCTGCCATCTCCAACGACTTGATTTCTCCGACGAGCTCCACAACATGTTTCTATAAACAACTACGACGTCACTAGTCCGATTTCTCCGATGACTTCACCAACTCCGACGAGCTCCAACCGCAACTCCAATCGGCCATCAACCAGTTCCGCCTCTCCACCACGAACCCCAATCGAGCTCGTTCTCTAGATCCCCCAACTCAGGTAACCATCAAGCCCCAAAAATTCTGTCATTTTTCAATTAGTGTATAGTTTATTTATTGGAGGTTTTCATTTTTATGTTCAAAAAACCAATGATATTGAGAGTTGGGGTTGATCTGAAAATTGGGTGGTCTGCAATCATAGCCTGAAAAAAATCGATATGATTAAGTGTTAGTTGTTTTTTATCCAGATATTGTGCGGTTGGTTTGTGCTTGTGCGGTTTTTTTAGTTGGTGATCTTCCAATATGGTGTGTTTAAAGCAATAAGATGTGTTTAAAGCATAGATGGAAGGAACAATTAGAAGAACTGACCTTACTATTGAATGTCAAAATGAGATTTACTATGACATTATTTATAGTAAATGCGATCAGAAAAGAACTAGGTTATAATGTCGAAAAATTAAGTCTTTTTTCCCCATATTATTTTCTGTTTCATATTTGCCTCCATTTTTTTAAAGGTCAATTACAAAACCTTGTTGTGAGAAATGGAAAACTTGGACACTGAAGCTAATGAAGTAAACTTGGACGATGATGATTTGATATATACTCCTCAAGTATCAGATGAGTTGAGGCCAAAAAAGGGGCAAGAATTTGACACAATAGATGATGTTTTGACATTCTACAATGCTTATGCTAAAGCAGCTGGGTTCAGTGTAAGGTCTTGGACTACTCAGAAAGAGCCTATGTAAACTTTGTAATGGCAATTTACAATGCATTATTGGCTCTCAGGCCTTTGACCACTACTTTTTCTCCAACATCATGTCACTTCTAAGTTTTAGAAAATCAGTTGGTCATATTAATTCCAGGCTTGAGAAAGCTTCTGCTCATCATAATTGGGAATAATTGTTCATTATTTGCAACAAAAACTAGAGATCATGAAAAGAAATGTCTAATTGGGAATATCTGCACCTGCACATTTGGCTGTTTAACTAATAATTAGCATTGACTTTTACTATCATTAGCACATTTAGCTTTGTCCAATATACGATTGGAACATGCTCTGACTTTTCCCACAGTTGACAAACTTAGAAGTGACATGCAAATGGTGTTATTTGTGTAGAATGAAGAATCTGCTGCTGAAGAGCTGGCATTTGAACATGACATATCTGAAGAATCTGCTGCAGAATGAAGAATCTGCTGCTAAAGAATCTGCTACAGAATGAAGAGCTGATTTGTCTTTAATGTGTTGTCATTTGATATTATTTAATCTGCAGAATGAAGAGCAGAATGAAGAGCTGATTTGTGTTTAATCTGCTGGAGAAGCTGTTTAATATTATTTGAACAATGTGTGTTTAATGTGTTGTCATTTGAACATGACATATCTGATTTGTTACGGTGTGTTATTTATGGTTTAGAACCTGTAAGTTTTGGGAATCTGCTGCTGAAGAGCAGGCATTTGTTTGTTTTGGAACCTGTAAGTTATTTATGGTTTAGAATATTTAACGCCCAGTTGAGTGGTATTTTTCCTCATCACCATCTTCATGATTTTCTTTGCTGAGTTGTATCCTGCGTACTGGAGACTGTATCTGTTTGTGGATTTGTTTGTTCTGGTACATTTGTTCATGCGTTTGTTTGTTGATTTTCTTTGCTGATTTTCTTTGCTTAGTTTGTTCATGAATCGGTGCTTGTAATGAGTTCATCTATATTATATCAAGTCGAAGTTGCACTCATGCATCGGTGCTTGTAATGAGTTCATCGTATATTATATCGGTGCTTAGTTTGTTCATGCATGAGTGCATTTTGATCTTTCAGATGTTCAAGCTAATGGCTGCTGGGTGTCCTTAGTTGCAGCATATGATAAGACTGTTAGTTTACTCTGAAGAGTTTGGTTCAGGAAAATGCATGACAGTCATTTAGGCTGCTATTTGGGCGTGGTAATTTTAGTTTTAGATGCTTTTTAGTCATTTACCATGGATACATTGTACTTTATTTGATATAAACATACACTGCGTATTCACCTTTACGATGATATGATGCATATCGACTGGCAACGAAATAAGAAAACAAGCATCTCAGGAACTAATGCAGATGTATGCAGGAAGCTTGATTTAAAGGGTACATGATAATTTTCATTGAGAAAATATGTTACAGAATCATCATCTGCTAACCGCTACCAAAATTATTGCGATACATACAGCAACTAAAACAGTCAATTGACCTGAAATACATGCCAACAAGCAAAGGCTCAAAATTATTGCGCAATAACTGATTCCCCAAGAGTATTCACAAAATCACAAAAGGGATATATTGCAAGCTGATGCAAAAAATTACATCACATGTTTTTTGCAATGGAGAAACCAGCAAATATCGCAACGATACATACTATAAATACTAATATTATAAACAATGAACCTAATACAAAAGCATAGATGGAGAAAATAGAAGTTTCCTCCAGTTTTTCCTTGTCCTCATCCAGATTATGCCTCATTGTATATCTTTATTCTTGAGCATAAACAGATGTTTGGACATGCCTCGAGCTGGATGCTGAATCACGAGCGAGTGTGTGCTTCTTCTTGAGCATAAACAGATGTTTGGACATGCCTCGAGCTGGATGCTGAATCACGAGCGAGTGTGTGCTTCTCCCATTCAATCAAAGCCTCTTCGTACGCTGGATGCTGAATCACGAGCGAGTGTGTGCTTCTCCCATTCAATCAAAGCCTCTTCGTACGTTGCATACCCTTTGTATGAGGCATTTGGGAATTTATCTACCTGAGATTTGCATTCCTCCTAATTATAAAAAATGCCACATCATCGACCTCTCTTCACTACATAAAAACTCTTTCTTGCCATGTATAACCTAGAAATATTTGTATACATGACTTATCAAAAACAACAAATATTAGTAAATGCTCGAATATTTATTGAAAGAAGCAGAAACTCTCCCAGTGCTTTTAAAAACAACAAATAAACATGATAGTTAAGTGATGTCCTTAAAGTGATTTGGCTACCAACAAATAAAGTATTGAATAGGAGGGCTGCAGATGGTACAGGTCCAGGATTTAACTATTCAGGGTTTAGGAACATAAGATGAGAATTTGTGCAATTGATCATTAATACTAATTAGTCTTCTCAAGTAGTTGGTTCATTTGTTTTTGTAATTTCTGTATGTTATCATCATAGTGAAACTATTGTATTCACTCTTTCTCAGGTGCCAACTTGATTTCAAACAAAACCCTTTATATATCACGCAAATCACTTTCCTTGACGAAAAAATATGAACTTTCAGCAATCCTAATAAGAACAGACCCTAGTTGTTGATAACTATGCACAACGCTAGCTTTTCTACCCTAAAATGTAAATACTTCACTATCTTCCTCCAACAAAATCAAATACATCATCTTCAAAATCTTCCAACAAAAAAATGAAGACAGAAAAGAAAACCTACAACCTATCAGATTTTTTTCCTCAGGCTTTTTGGGGTGCCAACGTAAAGTTTCAATGAAAAAAAGCATCAATTTTCAATCTTCTAATATCCTGTAGTTCACCCGTACAAAATTCGCGGCAACTCCAAATCTATTCACCATCAACCATTCTAAATTTAAACTCAAGTGTCTAAAATATGATAATATCAAATTCAACAAACCCTAGACCAAATCTCAATCTCAAACTAACTCATGGTAAAAAAAAATCTAAAAGACACCCATTAAAATTAAACACATAAAAATGAACTCGAGAGTTGGGGGCTGCGGCTATTCAAGATTTTTGGGGCTTGATGGTTACCTGAGTTGGGGGATCTAGAGAACGAGCTCGATTAGGGTTCATAGTGGAGAGGCGGAACTGGTTGATGGTCGATTAGAGTTGCGGTTGGAGCTCGTCGGAGTTGGTGAAGTCGTCGGAGAAATCGTACTAGTGACGTCGTAGTTGTTTATAGAAACATGTTGTGGAGCTCGTCGGAGAAATCAAGTCGTTGGAGATGGCAGATTTGGGAGCTCGTCGGAGTTGGTTGATTTTGGGGTTTGATGGAGGAGGGATTGGGGCTTTTTTAGGAGAGAGAGAGAATCAGTCTTGTCACGAGAATTTGTATTAAGCAGCTGCTGTTGCGCTGGCCTTTTTTCAAAAAAGCCCTTAATGCGTGGTCACGAGAACGCGTGGTCAGCGCAGCTGCTTTGCTTTTTTTTAAAAAAAACCCAAAAAGCCCTCAATGCGTACGAAGCAATGCGCACCTGAAACGAACTGTATATCTTGCTTGCCTTTTATATTATGGATATGCATGGTTTGGGTTATGCCATTAATATTGCTCCTAGATTAGATAATTTCCCATATGCCCAATGGTGTGTTAGATTTAAACTTTTTGTTCAATCTAAACACTTTGATTTATGGGAAATTATAGATGATGCTTTTATTGTGCCCATTTTGGAGAAATCCAAGTGGAATAAGAATGTTCATTGTATGTTTACAATGAACAATATTTTGTTAGAATATTTGCAAAATGCTTTTAATTCATCTATGCCTAACAAGTTTGTTTATTTTGATAGTGCTTACAAAGTTTGGAAATTTATAGAAGCACATCAAGGGGACTTAATACAAGCATGTTTAGAAGAGATGGACTTGATGTAAGGCCCATAAACAGGTTTCCATAGGCCTTTTAAGCAAATCAAACAACCCCTAAACATACAAGTGTGAGGTTATTGACGTGGTAAACCATATGATTACTGACAACATGCAAAACCGTCATTTTGATGATATTTTTTCTCAAACCTGTGAATGAAGTGGGTGCATATATATTTTAGAGATTTACATTGGTGACCTTTTTACTTTTAGGCTCTGATGATTGTCAAAAAATTTTAGATTAGAAACCTGCAATTTCTATTGATATTGCACTGGATGGCTAACAATGATGATATTGACCAAGTTCTGAGCCCTCAGCCATAATTTGCATAAATGTTTTCAAATGATTTTTTAATTATAAAGTTCAAATTTAAACATGCATAAATTATCAAACTAGTACATCATTATAGCAAAGTAGTACATGTCCAGGCTTTCATTTTAGCGATTTTAAATAGATTTCTAGACCACGATGCTCTCCATTATATTCCTTACTTAGATTGGCAACATCTTCATTATAACCAACTACATGGGCGTGTGCTTGGTTGATTTTTGTTTGGAAAAATGTTGGGTATATCTTTGCAATATGGACACTTTCAATTTTTGTTTCGGTCTAAAACTTTTACCACATTAGCTCTTAGCATAATTTTTGCTAATTCCATGCTATCCCACATTTCTTCTTGCTCTCGATCTACATCCGTATAGGCAATCCATTCTTCAAAGGTTTGTTTATGTTTAGTAATCCTTCCACGCTGATAAAAAAACATAGTAAATTGACATTAATACAAACAGATACATTGTTTATCATCAAAATTTTAAATATTCCTGCCTTTAATGATGGTACAGATGAAGATTCACCAATATCTTTAATTTTCTTATTCATATTTTTTCATGGTTAGAATTTGGTGTGCAAACATTGCGTTTTATAGATGTTTAAGGACTGATATGTTTACTTGGTGGTTAGATGTTGAATTTGACAATATTTATTTGGATCAATAAATTTTTTTATTCGTATTGCCCATATGGTTTTGAAGTGCTCATGGTTTCGAAACCTAACTGGTTTTGTTTCTTGTAGTTGACTCAACTACTCAGTCTCCATTAAGGGGCTATTTTGGTATTTCTAGGTTTGATGTGAATTTTTATGTCATATACATATTTATGACTAATCAGACTGTTTATAGTTTTTTTACAGGTTTCATAAGAATTTTTAGCTAATTCAGGAGGGTATTTCATAAAATTATGAATAATCAGGTTATTACAGGTTTTGTTTGATTTTTTTTATGTCAAACAGGTTTCGTGTAATTTTTTTCATGTCAAACAGGTATATTCCATGTTAAATTAGGTACGTAGTTCATAGCAATTAATCATGTTATTACAGGTTTCTTATGATTTTTATGTTAAACAGATATTTATAGTGAATTTAGTATTTACTATTTTTTCATGTTACCTTCGCACTGTAGGCATAAAAAATTGCCTATAGATTGCAAAGAAGCTCAAAACTGACGAAAACGCTGATATCTCTCAAACCAGAGAGAATTTGTCAAAACAGACAGCGGCAAACCAAACTTTAGTCAGTTTGTTTGGTCTCGTCTCGTCGAGATAGGTGATTTTTATATATAATTCATCTAATTCCGACTTACTGTTTGAAAGTTATGACACGTTCTTCGCAGCATGTTCTAAAGTCCGTCGGAACTGATCAAACCTCACCTGAACTATTGGACCAAGCCTATAGGTTCCCAAAATATAGCTTGAGACAAAGAGAATGCAGTAAACATCATCATCTGAGTCAAAAAAGTTCATCCGATGCCAAAAGGAAGCAAAGGAACATGCGAAGGAACACGCGAAATGACGAATCGACGAAACAAAGAAGCACGAAAATCAACGAAACATCATAACAAGGCACGCGCCAACGTGTCACACATGCGAGACAC